AGCTGTAAGGTATCTTAGGTTCTTGTTGGTGACTTACCTAAGTTAGTGTCTGGTAGGACTACTTCTTAATGTTAATAAGTTATCATGTTGATTAAGTTTTCTATCCTATAAAAATTAACTTATTTCACATTATTCCAAACTATTGTTTGTAACACTCGAGTCATCTATTTTCTTGTAAACAAGGAAAGAAATAAAAAAGATAAATAACTTATTTACAATATAAAAGTTTTTAGTCAATAAATGGCCAGCTTGAAGATGTCCGTCGGAATTCGGATTTCGGAATCAACAAATATTACGATTACGATACGACTCATGAGTTGAGGAACTGAACGATGAATTAGAACAACTCCTTTTCAAGAGTAGCTCCGAAGAACGGGTGCTTGTCGATATACTGGGACTATTTCAGTGTCGACATAGTGAAACTATTTCATTGTCGACAATATGGGATGTCGACAATTTGTGGTGTCGATCGTTTGCGACGTCGGTTATTTGGGATGTCGGTTAAGTGGGAATATTCCAGTGTCGACAAACTGGGAATAATTCAGTTCCGGGTTCCGATCAATTTCTACGGTTGTCGATATTATGGAACCCACCCGCAATATTTGCATTGAATATTTTTTCTTGAATCGCTATCGTATTCGTAATTACAATTTAACAAATTCTGATTTTCTGCTTTCTGCCAGGAACTTGGGATCGGCTAACAATAACGGAAGTACCAAAAACACTGGGAAATCTTTACCACTTACCAGGACATGTGTTAATGCTCTGAAAAATAATTTGACAGTAAATATATATAGCTTATGAATTCTAAATTTTATTTTCAGTTAAAGATCGTGCCACTCATCTCCATTCATAGGCCTACTTGGCTTAAAATATATGTATGGTCGCCATTTCATTGAACAGTATTAACAGTACTCTTTCAGCTACATGACATGTAGTTTAAACTGCTATCGGAAATAAAAAAAAAAAAAAAAAAAACAAACAAAGGACTGCTCGGTTAAAAATTCATTCGGTTGTCGATTTCGATTTCGGTTCGGTTGCTCGGATCGGACGTCGGTTCGCTCAAATTCAAATTTTAAAAGTGGTCATCTTGCTTGTAACTTGTAAAGTTGTATTGTTATTTGTTTTCAGTTCTAATTCATTTATTCTTATTTGAATGATTTATTTATGGTGTTTGTAATTTAAATCAGTTCGTCTGGGCTGATTTGAGTGTGAGGCTTGTCTTGAATTTTAACTTTTAAATCGGCACGGCACAACGCAGGCTTCCTTACTGCTGTATAGTGTATTTTACATCAACAAAACTGGAAACTGGAAGAACATGCAACATTGCAACGGCTTGGTCTTGGTGCTTTTTCAAAATGTTCAATTCAATGAGAAACATCAGAGAAACTCGTTGCGTTAGACTAAGCACAAGAACATCACATTTTAGATTATTGGGAGTGTTTAGTTTATTAAGTTAGCCTAGGCTATATCATTTTGTATGAATCATCATTAAGTGGTAACTTAAAAAGACAATTGAACTAGGGCTACTAGGCTATCAAATGAAAGGTACGGTAAGTCTACTCCTTTATAAAGTTAGACTTCATTATATTAATTAAAGGTAATAGGCCTATATTAATTTAAAACAACAGCTAAATGTCTAAGCTGCTTTAATCGTGGAGAGGCTAATCATGAAAATTGAAAAAAAAACCTAGGCCTAGGCCTAGGTACCGTAGGCCTATTTGGTAGTCTTTAAGTAACTTAGGCTAGATCTACTCATTAGTTGTTAACCCAGCTAGGCCTGTCTCCGTTGAGATAGCCTAAGTTTAGGCCTATTCTTTAAGCCTGATAATTTACTCGGGTACAGTTTCTTAACTGGGCTACGCTAATATCGATTGAAACTATCGATTCGATTAGTAAACCTTCATCCAATTTTTTCACCATCAGCAAGTTTGGTTGACTAGGTTAGGTTATGATAGTTTGGCTGCACTTTACTTTAGGTCCTACACTCATTCAAACGAAAATATCGAGCGATATATCGATTACTCGATTGTTTCATTCGATATATCGTTTGGTTAGTTAGGTAAGGTTAACCTATCCTAACTAACCAAACGATATATCGAATGAAACAGTCGAATAATCGATATTTTCATTTGAATGAGTGTAGGCCTAGGACCTAAAGTAAAGTGCAGCCGATAGTTTTATTTTATAATGGATCTAGGCCTAGGCCTATAAGTTATTTAAAAATATTGATTATTAATCAATATTTTCAATTCAATAGTTTCAATCAATGTTAGCGTAGCCCAGTTAAGAAACTGTACCCATTTACTCATTCCTTTTTAGTGTAAGTTATTGCAAAATACCTGTCACAGCAAACCTGCCGACTAAGCAAATTTCCATTTGCCTGATTTGACTTTCACTTAAAGTTATCTATTTATTTAAATAGCATTTAGATTTAACGAGTAGGCTACCTAGGTTTCCTACCCCACAAAACCCCCCATTTAACTTTTAAAAGCCCCGTTCCCATGGTCCGATCATGCTTGTTCGCGAATTCATTCAAGTTTATCCCACCTTACTTACATCTTCAAGCCAAATTTCATAAAAAATTGGATAAAGATTGACAAGTTAAGCTTAACTTATCTTGTTCATATGTAGCTACATTAAGCCTTACAGTTATAAAAATTTGAACCAATTGTGTTTTTAGCATCTAGGGACAAACTGAAAAGTACCTATATTGGGCCTGTGTCCAGGTTATAATCCATCCCGTGTACAATCACATCGGTTTTGTTCTGCAGTTACAGATTTGAATTCACAGTATCTACTTAATGATTTCAAAGCTTGGACATATCAGGCTTACCGGTATTGAATGTTTTCATTTGAATTCTGTTTTCTCGTACTGTACCGTAGCTAGTTTGTGTCTTGCAAAAATTATGTTAGGAGATAATTGCACTAGGTAATGTCAAGACACAGATTGATTAGTATCTAGCTTGGCTTAAAATACCTACCGGTACTTTGTATGGTCGCAATTTCAATGAAAAGTAAAACTTTTAAAACATCTTCATTTGAAACTAGCAATGTAAAAGGAAAGTTTTAATCCAGTGAAAAATTTCTTTTTTTTTTGCTGTTAGAGAATTTGGGTTGACACCTAGAAGTTGGGGTTTTAACCCTTTCAGTGCTAGGCCAATAATTCATATTTTGTAAGACTTTTTTGTTTGCCTTTTAATTCCATTACACGTTGTTGAATTTTAACTGTCATGTTGTCACTATTTTATTAATTAGGCTAATTTTGAATAATAACACAATAAGAAAATATATAGGCCTAAGAAAGATAAATCCCGGTACGGTATTTGTAGTAAACATCAATAAAACTTAGTTTTTGTTGTAATTTTCCTGGTTTTCCTATAAATTTTTATGTTCTGATAGCATTATTTGAAACCGAAATCTCACAAAATCAAAAGACATATAGTTTACAATGTAATATTGAATTTAACCCGGATTTAGTTGGACGAGGTTATTGTAATATAGCAATTTTAGGGAAACTAATGTTTTGCAGCAAAGTCTCAGGAACACATTTACTACTACTAAAACTAAAAGATTGCATCTAAATAGTCCGTGACTAGCTGGTGCTGCTAACTAGTAACACATTGAACAACCATCTGCAGCGCCTTCTGTTCGCAATCGGTGGCGACAGCTTAAATACCGGGTTTTGACTCCCCAGTCTTCAAGCACAGATAGCCGAGAAGGCTAGGGCGTGTGTCACTTGGCCAGTGGCATTCGTCTGCTCGGGTTCGAATCCCGTCCTGTGTGGCAAATAATTGGTGACCTGTGTGTTTGTAGCGATATACTACAACCACTGGGGCATAGTGAGGTGTTCATAATCCTTGGTTTAGACATACACCTCGAAATCATCGGATTGGGCGAATCTTTTAGCTAAGTGGTTGGTAGTGTATCCTTTGAACATGCAGGTCACCAATGGCCGTTTTGCTATTTTTTTTAAATAACCTTCCTCTCTATATCCCTTAGGGTTTTTTTAAAACAACGATATATTGTTTCATAGCACTGAAAGGGCTAATATTTTCTCCATTTGATTTATTTTAGTTTACATTTACCGGTACAGTTTTTATATCGTTTATCATACAGGAAATAAAAATGTAGGCCCTAGTAGCAGATGCATTCTCAAGAGTCAATGCCTCTGTTACTGAAAGGCCCAATTGTCCCTTTGATTTACATCAAGCACTTGAAAAAGGCTTAAAACTTTCATTATGTTCAACAATTTATTTTAGCAAAACCAACATAATTAGGCCTATTAACAAAATAGCATAACAACAAATAAACAAGTTTAATTGCATAGTAACCAGGTCAGCTGATTATAGTATAATCAAGGATATTAGAAATCATCACAATAATAAGCCTACCTACTAAGTTATCTAACTTACTGCGCCCTTTCCAATATATTATTGTTCTAGTTCGTTAATTTTCAATTTGAATTGAAATCTACATAACCTAAATACTTAATTTGCTTCCTTTTCTGTCCCTCAATTTTTTTTACTAGGCCTAGGCCTATTAAGTTTTTTTTTTTTTTAAGAGGTTGGCGGCCTCTTTTAACCTTGCATTTGCCCGTCCACATTGACTAACCGCCCGTGCGTGGATCGTATACAGCAAAGTAAGGAGTGAGCTGGTACAGTACACAGGTGATCTGTACTGATAAAATGTTTTGCCAGTGACCAGTATCCGAACCCACGACATTGCTGCCTTGGGCCCAAAGTCCGAGACGCTACCGTCTGACTTATAGTTAACCAGTTGTTAGTTAATAAGTTACCGTCAATCAATGAACAAGGTGAAACTAATATTGATTGTTTGTGTTTTCCAGTCAAGATGGCAGAGTCTTCACGCCAACAAAATACGCCAGTTCGTCACGATGAGCTTTCATTTGCAAGGAAAAGCCTTAGAACAAAAGTATTGATCTCAGCAAGTTTGCACAAAGAGACCAAAGACTGTTTTGAAAGTAAGGAAATCAAAAGACTGAATGGATCTCAAATGCTTTCTTCCACTAGAATTTGTGAAACTTCATCATTAATAGGAGCTGAGGTAAAAATATATGATTAGCCTATTTTATTTGTGTTTACTCTTTTATATTAACTTTCATAGTTACCGGTACCTATTTATTTTGTTGAGATACAAGATGCAAGGTCTTTTTTCTTGATCAACCAAATCCAAGGGTTAAAATTATGTTACTAAATATAAAATATAACCATTTTAAAATATTTTATTTTAACTTTGTATCCAAAATCAAATTGCTTACATTTTTCTGCCTATGTTTAATTTACTGGGATGAACTAGTACTGAAGGTGAAAACGTTTCTATTTGGTGTTTAGCAATTCAGATGATTATTTAACTTATCTATAACTTTAGCCCTATGTTAGCCTATTTGTTCATAGTCTAAATCAGTGTTTCCCAACCTTTTTCCGTTCAGGGCACACTAACTAGAACAAGTTTGTAGTCACGGCACACTTGTCTACAAAATATCGTTGGTTAAAATTACATTTAGTAAGTGCATAAAAAATACCTTTTTTCAATTACATCTTACTCCGTAAAACCTATTTTTTACTAGTAAATATATATATATATATATATAGCCTATATAAGGTAAAAAATATAAAACTCACATTTGTTATCTAACATGTGTACATTATTTAGTGTTTATTAAGTGGAAAGTTTTAAATAATAATAAAACATTGAGCTTCATTAAAATTTTGTATGAATTTACCAATAATGAGTGAGAAATTAATAAACCCTATTTTGAGTTCTAGTGGGAAATTTGTGCTCGACGTTTGCTCATTAAAAGTTTATTTCTTTATCAAAAATTGTTTAACTACTTAAAATTTCGTGGCACACCTACAGAGGCCTCCCGGCACTGGTCTAAATACTGTTCTATAAAATTTCTCTGGTAGGCTATGTAAAATACACAGCGACAAATAGATCTTTTAATATCCTCAATTTCTAGTTGTTCTTTGTTAAAATGATTTTAGGATGATTGTCTTTCACAAAATATTTGGGAAAAGTCTCCAGTAAAACAAGATGTTTCATGCCAGAGTGAAGAAGCAGATGAAGACATGGAATCCTTTAGGTAAGACGGCCTTGTAATAGTGATTAAAATGTTCCTTATAAAACCAAAAACCATAATTATTTTTGGTTTAAAAAAATCTGCAGAAATTAGAAAAATATGTGGGTTCAGTTGATGTTGTTCTGGTTGTTTTTCAGTAGAATACCATATTAAATAAACATCCTGATACAATAGTCAAAACCTTGAACTTCAATTGTATAAGTTTTAACAAAAGTGTACTATACCGTACCCATTTGCTTTTACTCTTTTAAGTTATATCAAACAAATTTTAACTGAGAAAAAATATTGTTTTAATTTGAACGAGATCTGTTATTTTATATGATCACTGTAATATTTGGCCATTATGATGAAATTATCTTTGATAACGTGTACTTAAAGGTGATTTTTTGGCACTCTCTCCATTATTCCCGTCCGAGGCTCGGGCTTGAAATGGTGTTCCTGTGTGAGGCAAAAGGTACTTTTTTATAAATTATACTATTATTCAATAAACATTTTATCAAGGTTATTGGAGTTTACAAATAATTATCGATCCTTAACAATATTTTGACAAACTGTTTTTTATCTTAATAAATCTGTACATTTGATTGTATGATTATTAATTAATATAAATTTATCTTTTTTTGTTTAGTTCGGACAGCTGTGATAGCATGGAGGCAAGCATTATTCAACAAAAGCATTCCACACCTCAAGTAATGAAGTTTTCTGTTAGAGCAGTATCTTCAACACCCAACCAAGAGAACTTTAGTATCATCAGCAAACTTACTAAGAATGGTCAGTTTCTACATTTTTGGCATTGAAAGTTGCAAAGTTTTAAGTAATTAATTTCTCTTTGTCTATAGATTTACACTTATACTTTTCTTTCAGTCGATAACTTAATTTTTATTTAGCCTATCTGGAAAAGTGACTTGTTTTAACTTGACTTAAAGCGACTTTATGTTAGGCAGCACATATTCACGCTACTACTCGTGGAACTGGACGCAACTTGACCAATGGCGAGTTATGGACAAATCCTCAAATTCTTAAACATGTTGATAGCTAGAAAATTACTGTATCCTCAATATGAATCACTCAATGACGTATTGTTTTCAAAATGTGCACAGCCTCCTACGAACCAACTAAGCCACTGTTTCATATTTTTACGTCTAAACTCTTTCTTTCAATTAATGATAACGGATTTCAATTGATTCCTACAAAAACCTAATACAAAACCCGGTTCATACTCGGCGGAAGCATCAAATTTCCTTTGCATCATTTTTGGCTACTATGAATAGACACGTCCCATTAAAGTTGAAACTCTGCTAGAACTTTAGTAGATAAAGAATAAAACACCGCACTTGTTTCAAATTTAAGCAAGCTTAGCGACAAGCTCAATAGAGGCCGGATAACGGAAAACCCTCGTATACAAATATTCGCCTGTCCTGAAGGAGTTAAGAGTAGCAAGACACGCTTTGTTAATGTCCAAGAACACTTACTATTTTTTAAATCATATTTCAAAATTGTTTTGTGTGGGACTACGCCTCTGCACTCTATTTCAGTAGCTCCATTCTATGTTAAATCAGAAAGAAGATTTGAAGAATAAGAAATCTTAAATTGTAAACATGAGTAAAATGGCGTAACACAAAAAATAAAATTTTATTTGATAAAGCCAAAAGTCTGAATAAGGCTTTTAGAAAAAAAAGTCATTGCTACTAAAAAGAATCATTTTGAGACTAAGGTTAAGCAATCTAGTAATGTATGTAAAACTACCTGGAAAATCCTTAATAATGAGGTCTCCAACAAGAAACCAGCATTTAGTAATATTGAAATAGATTTTAATCATACATTGTTTACTGATCCTGGAGATATTAGCTCAATATTTAATGATTTTTTTTAACAACTATGTAACCTCATCAATACTTCCTCACCTGGCTCAAAATAGCAACACACTTGTCAACAAGCCAATTCAACAAGCCTCCCAAACTAAATTTAGGTTAAAACCAGTCACAGATAGTGCAGTTTTAAAAATTATCAGTTCCTTTGATAACAAACTTTCAACTGGTTTTGATGAGATACCCATGACAATATTAAAGCATGCTTACTATCAGTTAGTGAAACCTCTTGTGCATTTAATTAACTCATCTTTTGTTATTGGATTATTTCCTTCTAAATTAAAAATTGCGCAAGTTATTCCTCTTTATAAAAACAATGATTCTAAAAAATAACCAATTACCGTCCTCTTTCGCTCTTACCTACCATTTCAAAAATATATGAGAAAGCAGTTCACATACAACTGACGAATTATCTGGAAACGTTTTCTTTACATGATAATAATCAGCATGGCTTCAGATCAGGAAGATCAGTTACAACTGCAGCAATAGAATCAGTAATAAACTCTCTTGACAAAGGTGAAACAACAGTTGGCATATTTTTAGACTTAACTAAGGCTTTTGACAGTGTGTCACATACAATTTTTTTAGATAAAATCAGAAGTCTGGGCATTGATTGCATTTCGTTTGAATGGTTTAGATTGTACATGTCTAATAGATATCAATACGTTGAAATTAAAAATTTGACAAATAACAGGGTAATCTCAAGATCTTCTCCTCTTACAGAGATTCACCATAGGGTACCCCAAGGGTCTATTTTAGGACCGATCTTATTTCTCATTTATATTAGGGATCTGTCAATTCCATTTTCAACTAGTTTACACAGTAGTAATAACTGCCTGTATGCTGATGATGTTACTTTTAAAATCAGCAATTCATCTTTATCAAATTTAGAAAATCACTGTTCTGATACTTTAAATATACTAAATACTTTTTTAAATTCTCATCAGCTCTTGACTTGTTAAATTTAAGCAAAAGTAATTTTATTGTTTTTACAACAGGAAAAAGAGAACAAATTGCACAGCCTGTAAAGAAGAAATCACCACAACAAGGTTTTTAGGATTAATTGTTGATAAAAATCTTACATGGAATAAGCATGTTGACCAGGTAGTCAACAAAATTACTTCTGGTATCCTTACTATTAATAGAATGTCAAAATTTTGCTCTCAATAGAAACATTAAATATTCTTTATTTTGCTTTTATCAAATCATCAATATCTTTTGGCATAAGTATTTATGGCTGTACCTCTAAGCAAAACCTGGATAGAATTCTTTTTCATTAAAAAAGTGCAATCAGAATTATGTTAAATTTAGAATGGGATACTTCCGCTCGTCAATATTTTTCAAAATTGGGAATAATGACTGTGTATAGTATTTATGTTTTTCATACAATTTTACACACAAAAAAACTTTCTAATGCTAATTTGGTCCCTAAACTTGGTGATAGTCATAATTATTTTACCCGGAACAGAAATGAAATTGGTGTCAGTGTCCATAATTTGGAGCTCTTTAACAAAAAAACCACCTGTGCAGGGAAAAGGTTTTTGGACAAACTCCCAGCTGAGGTGAGGAATATTGATAATATTCCCACATTTAAAAATAAACTTAAACATTTCTTAACTGATAAAACACTTTATGGTTTCAATGAATTGTAGGTTAGTTTGATTTAGTTTTAAGCCTAGTGACACCATTCAATATATGCGACTGTATACCATATGAATAAAGATATTTTTTCATTTCATTTCATAGTTATGTGTGAAGTTAAAGACAATTTGATAATACAATATTCAACCTTTATCAACTTAACTTTGCCTGGGAATCAAAATTACCTGCAGTTAGTTGCTTAGTAAATTGCAGATGCTACAATTAAAGTATTTCAATTTTTTTCTTTTACAGCTTTCACACAGACAAATTACACTTTAAACACTAGAGATCAAGGGGATATAAGTGAGAGTTTGAAATCCTATTTCAATGAGGTAAGATATATCAGGTCTTTTAGTGTGAAAAATAAAATAGTCACTAAGGTATGAAGTATTATGGTAAAGATTTTATTCCAAGCATGTTCTATAATGGTCTATACTAGATCATTACGATTCTCACACACTCAATGCGACAAACTCCTGATATATATAGAATATCTCATGCTCTTGCCAAGGGCTGAAGAAGGTTTATAGGTTACCTTTGAACCTCTGTTGAACCTTCAGCCAACAAAAGTTTCCAGAAAAGAGTGAACAATTTTTAGTCTGCAAGTTTGATTGTGTAACGTCACAGAAAACATACTACTATAACCCAGAATGCCAACCGCATGGTAAAAAGCATTAAATGTTTTGAGAGAGCTTTGCCTGTCAATCCGTTTCAGCGCCACCAGCGTTGCCATGCACTCAGCATAGCAACGCTGGTGGCGCTGCCTACGAATTGACAGGCAAAGCTCTCTCAAAACACTTAATGCTTTTTACCATGCGGTTGGCATTCTGGGTTATAGTAGTATGTTTTCTGTGGTAACGTTGATTTTTATTCACAAAATCGGACAGACATTTAAAAAATATTAGGTAATTAAATTGATACTCTTCCAGCTTTAACAATTTAATAAAATAACAAGAGAAATACAGGTATTCCAATGATATCCGACAATAAATAAGCCTGTGTCCAAATGCATTTTTGTCTTAATTTTCAGATGCCAGAAGATGAAAATCATTACCTTCAAAGCAGTAAAAATATGTCTTATTTCAATACCACATCTGAGTTAAGTTCTCCAATGAGGTAAGACTCAGATCAGTTACTTATAGTTAAATGTTTCCTATACAATGCTGTACATTTTTAAAATCATATAGGCTAAAATGTTGAATTCATCTATTAATTTTACAAATTAAAACTTTATCTTCTCAGAGAAAATGATCTTATTTTGGAATTGGTGATACTGTTGCAGTAAACTATCTATAGCTGTTCGTTTACGACTCTTCCTTAGATGTCTCCTACTTTTTAAAATGGAAAATCAGAATGGTTTATTAAAAAGTGTTATTGACTGTGTGTCCTGCCAATAAGTCATCATAGTAAATTATCCTCAAATACCTTAATAAAAATGACAATTGGGTTCAGATTGTTCGGATCAATCTTAATCCTAAATGAACGTAATCCTTTGGATTTGAAGTCTTACTATGATGACGTCTGTTATAGGCCTATAGCTTCTTCTTAAAAGGGAAATCTGCCTCAGTAAATTGTTCTTTAACTTGTACATAGTGATTGAGATGGATTGTAAGTTTTTCTTACACATTCTTGATGGAAGGAGTTTTTGTGCCATATTTTCTTCCTTGTGCCATAAATCTTTCTATGGCCTATTTATCAATTTTAGCAAACTGTATGATTACATTCATAGGGAAAAGATTTGGTATAAAATGGAAAGCTTTGGAATCCCAAATAAACTAATAAAATTAGCTACTAATATGTTAATGGCTCTAAGAGCAAGGTTAAAATAGAAAATGACTACTCACCATCCTTTGACATAAAAACAGGAGTTAGGCAGGGGGATTTTATTTCACCTACACTCTTCAATATAGCTCTTGAGGGAGCCCTTAAAGAGCTGAGGAATACAGAATTTGGTATTAGAATTGGAAAGAAGATAAGCGTGCTCGCCTTTGCAGATGATGTAGTACTGCTTGCAGAGACCAGAGAAGAACTCCAGGAAATGTTTGAAATCCTTAAAAGAGAAACAAGAGCAGTGGGCCTAAAAATAAATGACAACAAAACTAAACTTGTCAGATTTGGAAGGGGAGCAGAGAAGGAGGAGAAAATAACAGTAATAGAACAATATTATGAACAAGTTGAGTCTTTTAAATATTTAGGAGTTATTGTCAGCTCATAAAGTGAGGAACACATAGAAATAAAGAACAGAATAAACCTAGCCAGTAGAAGTATGTATGCTCTAAACAAATTATTATCATAAAGATAATTGTCTCATTACACTAAACTTAAAATCTACAAAACTATCATAAGACCTGTCTTTCTTTATGGTTCTGAAACCTGGGTTATTATGGATTAAAAAACAGATAAAAAACTAATTACTTTTGAAAACAAAGTCCTGCGCAAAATCGATGGCCCTACTATAGAAGGAGACGTATGGAGAATTAAGCATTATCAGGAACTAAGAGATCTGTTTAAGAACCCTGATATAATCGCAGAGGCTAAAAGAAGTTGAGGCTTCGCTGGACGGGCCACATCATTAGAAGAGAGGAAACAAGCACATTGTATAAAATATGGAAAAGTGATCCACTTGGAAGAAGACCACGAGGGAGACCGAAGAAACGCTTGAAGTAAAGAAAGATATGTCCAGGATGGAAGTCAATGAAGATACCGCAAGAGACAGGACGAGGTGGAGGCAGTGTGTTGGTGAAGCCAAGTACTACTTGGGGTACAAATGGCCATGGTAGTAAGAGTAAGTAAGTAAGTATTTTCTTTCTAGTAACACAACTCCAGGCATTACACAAAACAGATATATGATGGCCTTATATTGAGTATTGAGATTAAAACTCTCTTATATTAATACCTTTCTTTTACATTTAGACATATACTCAGACATACTCAAATAGCTTAAATGTAGGTTTTGTTTCAGCCACATGTGCAGCAAACTAAACGATTCCCAGGAAACGCCAGTCACAAACAAGAACTTGGTTAGGAAGCTGAGTCTAAGGTCTAAAACAATCATATGTTCCGCCCTAGAGAAAAGTAAAGATATAGTCTTACCTAGGAACATATTATCAAGGCACAAAAGTATGGAAGAGAAACGTACTTTCTCAAACACTTTTTCTCTCATTCCTCAACACAAGACGCCGCCTCCTGTAACGGGAAGAGTTCTATACAATCCGTTTGAGGTGGACCTGCCAAACAGACTCAGCAAGACAATTTTTAGTCCAGATGTCTTTGATAATGTCGTCAGCCCAAGCCAGGTAATTATTGAACTCATTCGTTAAAATTATTATCCACCCATGAATTTTGAAGTGCTACCTGTATCGTTAGTAGAACATTGATATCTATAACTTGTAGCCTATCTAGAAGTATCATAAAATATCTAGATCTTTTATTCTAAAACCACTGTCTTTTAGAATCAGTTTGGTTGACGTTATTATTTTATTTGTCCCACTTACTAAACATGGGGAGTACAAATATTGTCACTCATCACTAAACAGCTAACAGACTATGACGTATGAGAGTGTTGTAAAATTAGTTAGACTTTTACCTTTTTTACAAATACTTGCTGATTTGTTGCAAAATCAGCCCCAAGTGCACACACACACACACACACACACATTTTATGGTGGTATTTTACATTTTATGGTTTAAAAATCATTGAAACTTTTATGATTTTTTCCATAAAATTTAATAGCATAATACCCTCTGGTTACTCATAAAAGTAGTTTAGGGTGTTAAATTTTAATGTAAAGCTAATGGGGGAAGTATGTATCAGTTTGCTGATACTGTTTATTCATGTTTTGTTTAGGACTCGGAAGATTTGAGGTGGACCATTGAAGACATTTCCTCCATTAATCCTGTTCCTATTGACGAAGATTTCTCAATCCCATCAGACGACGAGGATCCAGAGAGGGAGAGTCGAGTTCAACAAGAAATTGATAGGTATTCAGAAAAATGTATCCCAAAATTTAATACAAAACTTTTAGGTGGAAAACAGGGAGTAAGGTACAGAGGTAACTTCTTTTTTGTATTTTTAAAAAGATTGTAATGATGAAACACGTTCCCTACCGACCGTCACACTGCTCTGTAATTTGCTGTGTATTTTGAGGGATGAGTATAGTTGGTAGCTAATGTGTTAATATTTTCTGGCAGTTTATTATAACATTTTTTCCTTAGATATTGTGGAGAGTTCAAGTGAGGTAAGTCTATGAATGGGCAGTTGTAAATCATTTCAGTGTCGTGTATGAATGGGCAGTTGTAAATCATTTCAGTGTCGTGTATGAATGGGCAGTTGTAAATCATTTCGGTGTTGTGATAAATAATTACGGCTATGGTTTTCATTCATAAAAGATTCAATATTTTTTTATCAAGATTAATGTTTGTGCAGGATATAAATTGACGGAAGCGTTAATATTTTCAAATTCTCTGAATTATAGGATTGATTGACGACAGGTCATTAACCTTATTTATGTGTACAGAAGAAACTTGCTTATGGGACGGTCGTGCGTATTCAGTAGTATGTTGTAAAATTTGTCTTAATAATGTTATACTAATGGAGAATAAAATAGAATATTTATTGATAGCTTGTTCAGAAAATGGTTTATTTCATTGTAGGCGTTAACAATTTAACCACAACAATTAATCGTGTTTCGTGTGTACTTCTTATCACCAAACTTTAATACTCTTTACAAATATTGTTATTCATATCTGGCGTGGGTCTAGGTGTAAATTTACCATAATTTCATAAAGCATTGTTAAGTGTGCACTGTGTATGATTACTATAAAGGATGTACTGTATTTTTATATAAAGCTATCTTAGTTTTACTGTTTTTTTTATCAGCAAAGCTATATTCTGTAATAAAGTGTGTCAATAGTGTTACAATTCTCAACCCTGTTAATTAGACTATAGACGCTTCATTTAATTTTCATTGACTTTTCAGGTATTTTAATGAAACACATGTTGTGTTAAGTCCTGATGATATACCTAAATCTACTAGTATTGTTGAAATTTTGAAAAATAACTATCATACCGGAGCAGCAGCCTCCACACCAAGAAAAGTTAATGTAAACAAATCAATGAATTTGAAAACAAGTAAGTCAGCTAAATTGTTCAATGTTTTGTTTGGAGTGAAATGATTTATTGTTTACCCTCAAAAATACTCTTTGCTGATATAAAATAGCTTTTTAAGAGACCAAACCAAGTTATGGTACATTTTAGCTCAAAATTATAATTTGATTATCTTCAATACATACAGTCAAGGGATTCCAAAATCTCATTTTCTGATGTGACAAAAGTGTGAGAAATATCATCATTGTTATCTTGTCTGTTAAGTTAACTGTCTAGCCCTCCTAGTGTCCATAGTAATGGTCTTAATGTCCGCCCATTTATTGCGCAATCGCTGGGTTTTATTAAATCTTAGAAACTTAAAAACACTCTAAAGTATACTGTTTTATATATCATTTTGTTTGGAAAACTATGGGCTTTAATGTAATATATAAAACATTAAAAAAAAAATTTTCAACAATTTTTGTGGGGTTAAGATTTCTCAAAAATTATAAAATAAATAAAATAAATAAAAAAATGTATGTTTGCGCTCAATAAATTTATAATAATTTTAGGTCTACAAATATTTAAAAATAGCCACTTTGTTCTAAATTTTATGAGGATTCCAAAAATATAATAATACTAGCAGAGTACCCCGTCCTTCGTACGGGGTTGGAATATAAGTATAAAATGCTTATTGCAGTTATACTTAAGCTTTGCGATTGCAATGGGTGGAGGACACAGTTTGATAAAATTTGCTTTTTTAAATTTACAGTATTCTATAGTATTACACATCTACCATAGCCATAATGTTCTACCATTTCACCAAACAATAGAGAAAAATAAATTATCAATTCGCAAAATATCACAAATTATTCATGAAATGAAAAACATAAACATAACTGTAAACAATCCTACTTTGACAGTTCTCATTGCGAATCACAGTTTTTTGTTGCTGCTTAGTTCAAATTAGTTGTTTTCATAAATGCAAAAAAAATATAGTGCTGCACCCTGTTGGTAAATCTTATAACTTTTTAATGCTTTTCCATATCATAGAACCAACTTTTTTAGTTGAAACAGCTGACTAAATTCTTTAATTCCCTTTAAATATGAATACTTATAAGGTTAACATGGGGAATTACAGAGCCACTGGGGCGGAGCCCGAAAGGATTTTTGAGATATGAATATGCCTATATGTTAATCGGGAATGTAAGCTATCATCATGCCAAATTTCAGCCCAATCCGTCCAGTGGTTTATGCGTGATTGAACTTCAAACAAACAAACAAACACACAAACTTTCACATTTATAATATTAGTAAGATAAGGAAGTAGGTTTGCAAATAAATAAGTTATGGGTGAAAAACAGATTTCGTACATTTAGCGTTAGGTAAGAATGCATAGCCTAACCATATCTAGGAATCTGGCGGATCATTTACATCAATATCACTACATACTTCTTCAGGGGCATCAACCAGCCCTTCAAAATCACTTAAATCTTCTTATAATGCACCATGTATATCACTACTTTTTATTTTTAACACTAAATTAAAACAATGATAAACGTAATAAAACACATCAGTCATCGGTGCGAGGTTAACCAAGTTGTTTACAAATACGCACGTCATCTGTCTGCTACAATATTTTTGGAACTAAAATTAAAAGCATCTAGAAACAGACATCAGGAGAAAGCTTAGAATCTGCCGAAAACAACCCTACCAATCTCAATCCAGTTCAATCTGATTCAGTCAGTCCCAGAGCCTTCGCCGTAAACAATGTTTGTGTGTCGCTTAAGCGACGCATAACACCATGGCGGGTGTGTTGTGCATCGATTACGCGACGCTTAACACTCGAAGGGCTAGATCACACTGAAATAAAAATTGGCGATTTCGTTTTCGCTTTTTCTATGAACTATTTAAAAATAGTTACACAACTTTGTGACAGTTTAATTTATGATTTTAAAGTTATCATTGCAACCAAGATTAATAATTTGTGATTGATTTTTGTTTCCAGGTGCCACACAAACAAATTTATCGTTACCTGAAAATTTACCATTAGAATTAGAAGACAGTTTGAGATCATATTTCAAGGTATGTATATTCTGAAATTACGTTATAGGCTAGCGTTAAACTTATTCATTTAGATATAAGTTTCTCTGTTATACAAGTTTGCAAGCTAACACTGATTGCGAAAAACAATCCATTTTAAGCAGTTAGACAATCACATTATTTGGCACCTCTAAGCGAGTCTTGATTAAAATACCAAAAAGTATTAATACCTACTCACAATGTAGTTTGCTTAGCCTATACATGATCGTAAAAGGTGCAAAAAGATTATTTGAAAGATAATTTTTTGACAAACTTTTTTAATTAATTGTATTATATATTATAGTTTCTTCGTAGTATTGCCACTACTATTCACACACTTTTAATAAAAAATGAACTTTTGTTAAAAGTGTGTGAATAGTTTATTTTTTTTATATATTAGAAATATGTGCGCTTTGAATTTCTTAGAGGTCACTTTTAATGTTTTATGAAATGGAGCTGTGAATGATTGTGGAAGTAGTAAAATTTTAACTCTAATCATATTAACTGCAAAAATGTAATAAAACAATAAAAGTTATTTTTATTTTCTTCAGTAAAATTTTGCATTTGACAACTTTTTAGGCCACAAGTGGAAAAAAAAATGATTAAAATCTTCTATTTTATAGTATTTTGAGGCAGACGAGTTCAACCTAAGTCAGTGCAATCTTAGACGCAAATTATTCTTCCACACTGAAGATGAACCTCCGTCACCTGTGAGGTAAGTGATGTATTTTTTATTTGTTAAAAATTGTGATAAAATAATCTATTTTTGCCACACTAGACAGTAAGTAGCTGGTTTTTGTACTCTTTGTTATTTAATATTTTGTCCTTTAATACTTTGTCCCATGAGGGACTTTGTAAAAAGTAGAGGAAGAGAATCTGTACTTCTTCAAAAGTATGCTAGCTGTTATCCTCTTTATTCTGCAATTCAAAATCATAGCCTAGAGCCTTCCCTTGAACAAAAGAAGATGTATCGTCATTTAGGTATTAGCATTGACTTTTAAATAAGTTACTAAAGTAGACATCTCACGTATATCAATCAGTTGTTGCCAATTTTTTTATTCAAAAAGAACTGTTGACTCAGAAGACGGTAAATACATAGGCTATAAAAGATGGCAAGTGGTGATCAATATATCCATTAGTCACTCCAATCATAACCAGACCCAATAGGCGAATCTTTACTATCTTTTATATTTATTTACCGTCTTGTGAGTCAACAGTATATACTATTACAAGTGTTATTAGACATATTTTTGTACTTTCAGGTAATTTAATAACACGTACGATGAAGAAGTTATTGAAAAAGAACGTAGTTGTGTGCATCGTAGTTCTACCTTACTTTTTTGTTATCTACTGACATAGTCGATGTAACCTAATACATGTTTGTTTTAGCATCCTATAGCTTACAATAAGTCATCCTAGACTTGTTTAAAAATTTGCATACATGACAGAAATAAGTAATTTACATCAGTTCCATTTGTCAGTGGATCACTTCAACTATGTCCATTTTGATTTAAAAAATTGTGACAACTATAACAATGGAGATGGAGTATCTAGTTCTATCAGTAGTCAAAATGTATTAGTGATGTAAACAACTGTATGCATACTATTGGCTTGTAAACAATATTATCTAAAACGCTAAAACTAATACACTTATTTTACAGGTTTGAAATGAATTCTAGTCCTTTAACCAAAGACACGTGGAAAGCTGGGATGTCACCTCTGTCCAATGACAATGTAAGTTTGGACACATCAACCCTTCAATCTATTTCTCTTGGGCTAAAGCGGATCAAATAAACATTTACTGTAATTTATTTATATATTTATATGTTTGAACTATGACTGCATATATCTTCCAGCTTTATTCTAGCATTTAAGATGACTTTTGGTATTGATGAGTTTGTTTGTCAGATGTTCCCTGGCAAAATATTGGGCCTGTCAAATATACATTTGAGATAAAATTACCTTATCCTGTATGAGCTGCGAACTTCAATGGTCTTCTCACCTGCTTGTCTGTTATAGTTCCTGAAATTTTTAACATTGTATTTTGATTTAAGGAGTAGTAACATTCATAGAAAACGTTCTTTTGTCTTCGTATCTTTACACCTCTGAGGACAAACAATAATCAAAGCTCCAGTGAATGGTAGCCAAATGATGCTACCTTCTTTATCTCGCATGTTCTACTAATACTTAATTGGACTAAAAGCCCTTGCATGCTCCATTATGTCTTTTTGTTTACCTAAGTGATAGATACCAAACACATGATACCATACACTCAACTCCCGATTATCCGGGATACTATTGAAAGAAGAAGTGGTATTAAAATATAACAGTACTAAACTATGGTAGTTAATATTATTTATACAGTAGAACCTTGATAACAAGACTCTCATGGGGATTATTAAATAAAACTTTTTATCAAGGTTGATTTCTTATCGAGGTTTGCAATAACAAGTGATTAGGGGTAAAATAAATTCTAGGGGATTTAAAAATTACACTTGTTATCAAGGGTCTTGTTATCAAGGTTTCACTGTATGACATAAAAACACCTCAACATTGTATTTGATAGGAGTCACAAAGAATAACACACGTATTTGAACACAATGACACATGTAAATACAAAGAATATGCATAGTCTTTAAGATCAAATAAAATACAAGAAACAAACTACTGTCAATAAACTTTTCCCTCAAAATAATCTGTAACATCTGTGTTTTTTAACAAAGAAACATCTCTTTTTGATTATACTTTCATGTTTTGTAAGATAGTTTTGTCTGCAAGTGGAGCATTTTATTACAAATGTACCAGGGGAGATAACAGGAGAGGGGTCTATGATGTTGAGTGGGTGGCTGGAGACAGTGATTTATGGTTTCTTTATATCCTACTGTGCTTCTTCAGAGAAAAAGACTCTGCCAATAACATTTGCTTACAGTTTGATAAAAAAACATTCACTTGTGTTGGGAATTACGGCCGTGTCTGTCTGCATTTAATTTTACTTATTGTTCCTGGAACGTGTCCATTGCGCCGCAATACGGTTAATCCAATTACAGTTAGTCAGGATGGTTGAATGTATCGTGTGACCACAGATAATAGCATCGTGTAGGCTTTCCAACAAGCCTACCCCAAACACTCTACGATCTGTCGCCGAACTGAACAGTGGGCTGCATAAAATAGATCGTTTTTTTGCCACACCCTGTATCAGCTACAGCTTTGTTCTCAATTAACCTCAAACATGTTATTAAGCTATACCCCTAGAAAGATATTGTGGGTAAAAGTGTTATTTTACAAACTTTACTTTTTATAGTCTGGTTGTAAAATTAAAATTATTATTCTTCATTCACAGAGAGCAAGACACTTTACTCCTTTGGGCAAACAACAGGAGTTTTCCTCCCCTGAAATGTCGCCTGTCGTCGACAACTTTACTTCCAACGTGAAAAAACATTGTTTGGTGTCCTGCAAGAAAACTCTACATAACATCTTTATTGGTAAACTATTTGTCCTAGCCTATGTTGATAAAGTCTTATGATTACAAAAATGCAATACATTAAATGTTGGGTAATAGCATAGCCTCTTCTAGTACAAGAGTGTTGCTGTTGGTGGTCCAAATTAATCCTGATCATTGACGTTCTAGTACATGATAACTTTTATTAAGTGAACTCTATATATTAGATCAACCAATTATTTATACGCTTTCAAACTTTATTCCAGCTTGCTACAACACACAAAATTGCTTAACATTGTCTATAGTTATTAAGCAAACTGATAATTTATTCGTAACGCTTTTTAAAGGAAATTCTAATGAAACGAAGACAGTGAGGCGTAGAGAGTCGGTAAACTCTACAGCTGCAACTGGAAGTGATATAGACTCTTCGTCTCAACCGGCAAGTCAAGACACGGGCTACCACACAGACGACAGCGGCAACTCACACTTGCACTTCTCTACACCAACACGTACACAGCCTGCAAGTTAACTGTCTGTGTGATTAATACACTTTATACACTTTAGTAAGTATTTGACAGTCTGCAGATTTTGCAGTTTATTATACAATATGTTATAATGTTGTACTTGTGTTTTTTCATGTAATAACCTGCAGATTTTGTAGTTTATTATACATTATGTGATAATATTGCACTTGCCCTATGTTACAAGTGATAAATGTTTACAACTATGTCGTTTAAAGGTTTTATATATTTGTATATCCATTTTAAAACTTAATATGTGTATAAGGGTGTAACATAGAGCACAAGGGCCTAGGTTTTTAGGTTTTATGTTTTTATCAACATTTTGTCAAAGATTGATTTATCTTTTTCTTTAATTAATATCATATTTTTAATGCTCTCTCCACTTTTGCAGTAAGGAGTTTCACAATTACTTTTCAACCTGTATATTAGCTTTGTTTATTATCGTTACATTTTTTTAAACTATACCCCAAAACTAGTTTTTTATTTTTTTCAACCTACTGCAGCAAAACCAGCTGTTTTCAATGCGAGGCTACGATTGCTTCTTTTTCTCTCTATGGTCTCAAAACAAGAATGACACCATTTTTGGAGCTAATTTATAAAGGTAAACCACTTACAAAAGTTACATTTTGTGAATTATTTAGCCAAAAGAATGGTGCAGTATGGCATAAAATATAGTTTGTCACACAGGCCTAATGTGTATTTTTGACACTCGCACATTTTTTTATTAGTTCAACTTAAGCTCTTGTCAAAGCGAGTCACTTTAGGTTCTAGTGGTGAAATATACTATTTTGATGATTTGGTGATTAAAACATGCTATTAAACAGTCAACCGCTAGTTTCTCAATAAATAGGTCCTTGTGAACTTAGGTAGTGTTTGTAAAAAACAAGTTATCAATTTTGTTTTACTGTGTTATGCTCAAACTTGTTTGTATATTTACGTTTTTTTTTGTGCCTGAAAAGAGAGTTTGTACTTTATTCTTTTGGTTGGTTAGTAAAACCATTTTCTTATACTACTTACTGTTTCTTAGGCTGTACAGTAGTTAGGACTTAATCATGTTTTAGTTGTTTAGAAAAAAAAATTATAAACAAACATGGCTCAAAAAATCTTTGTCAAAGTACCAACTTACATTATACAAAATAAGACTTGCTACAGTACAACCCCGCTAATCAGTCAAATACGGGACTGGGACCATGGTTGTACCAGTGAAAAGGTTGGATTATCCAAGGAGCATATTAAATGACCAAATTTATTGTTTAACTGACATTTGTCGATCACACGTGATCAAGGAAGACAATCATGATGTCCTCGTTGTTCAATATTTTGCATGATCGCAGGAAACGATGATGTTTCCTTTACTACAGTAGATATTGAGGAATTTGCTGTGATCGCAGATTTTCCTCTAATAACGGAGTTTCCGTGATTGTTGAAGACGATGATGATATCCTTGATTTTGGGTGATGAATGATATTTTGCCACGATCGCAGAGGATGATAAATGTTCCTGTGATTGCGGAAACGATGGTCCATCATCAAGGGTGATAAACAAATGTTTTCCAGAAGTGTAGTAGATTGTGATGATCCCCAAATGACTTTGAGAAATGGTCACGAAATATCATGGTAGCTGTGTTAGTTACTACTACTACTGCTGTGCCATAACATTGTGACGGATTAGGCGATGGCACGGTCGGAATAGCGTGGCTCTACTGTACCACCATGTTCATTAACCTGCTGTACTCATATATTGAGTTTGAATTGAGTATTTTATTTTGGTGGAGTAATACATTTTGCATCTAAGTTAAGATAGCAGTTTGTTTATTAGCTAACCAATAAAGAAAAACCCTTGGGTGCTATTCATGTACATAATCCTTGTATTTAAAATTAATTAGCTTAATAAATGGTACAGTCTGTTAACAAATATAGTTCTTAAACGTGGCTAAAGTGTCTTTTCAACAATAGCACATTTTTCAACTTAGCTTTGTCTCGGTGATTGGACTTAAGCTCACTTTGTGCCTTAGGGATGAAGTATACAATTTTTACCTTACATAAACTAGTTTATTAGGTTTTACAAGGTTTTACTTTTCTGATCTTTTTCCTCTCATCTGACTCTAGCTTTATGCTCCTCTTACTCCCCGACCTGTTTTATCTTCCAACCAAGGTTTGGCTTTAACTTTGAATGGTACAAATATACTTCCCGTTCCCATAATATTGAAAATCTGAAAGGAACTTGTTTTTTTTTTTAATTTACTTTAATACTTTTCAATGAAATGATGACCATACAAAGTAGGTATTTTAAGTATTTCATGTTAGGTACTTTTATCAACAATAGGTTTTTTTCTTTTAATTTAGGGTTGATTTTATGATTTGTGCAAAACCAAGTTGTAAAACCAGAGGACGAGCTGTTGTTTATAATTAATTAGACGGTTTTATTTGGTTATTAAACTTGTTTTAAAATAACAAGAAACAAATAGTTTACAAAAACACACCCTCAACATGAGTTACTGTAACTATAATTATTTAAATTGTCTTCAGCTGATTCATAAGGGTGACAAATCTATTGGGGAGTTTGTCAGCTTTGCCATTAGACACATAACAATGCTTCAATATATTTCCACCCAAAACTGAAACTTGAAAATTTTTATAAAAATGATGCTCCATATGTATAGGGGGAATAATATACAGACTGTCCCAAAAATCCCGGACCGGTTTAGTATTTTCTAAACAACAACAGATAAATCAATAAGATTTGGTACATCAACACCACACCTAAAAATCTACTTTTTTAAGGAAATATCAATTTTCTGTCACATCATGGGGACGTCCCGCAAGGAGTCAGAAGGAAATCTTAAATAGAAGCATAGGTTGACATGTACATCAAATTAAAGGTCTTTACTAGCAGAATATAATGCCGCAAATTTGAACTCAAACGGACAACCAAGTCAAGAATGACAGTGGTTTAAAGATTCATTTAATTTGCATTTGGGGCACAGCCCTAGGAATCGGAAAAAAATTGTTAAAGTAAGCATAGGTCGATATGCACATCAAATTAAATGTCTTCACTAGTAGATTACAATGCCGTAAATTCAAGCTCAAAAGAACGCCTGAGTAAAAAATGGTAGTCGTTCAAAGATTCAAAATGGCAGGTTCAAGAAATCTTTGAACGGCTGCCATTTTTTACTCAGGCGTTCTTTTGAGCTTGAATTTACGGCATTGTAATTTACTAGTAAAGGTCTTTAATTTGATGTGCATGTCAACCTATGCTTCTATTTAAGATTTCCTGTTGACTCCTTGTCCCCATGATATGACAGAAAATTGATAGTTCCTTAAAAAAGTAGATTTTTAAGTGTGATGTTGATGTGCAAAATCTTATTGATTTATCTGTTGTCGTTTAGAAAATATTAAACCGGTCCGGGACTTTTGGGACAGTCTGTATATTGATTTCAATAACACACTGTGTTGTTTATTCATCTAATATCTACATTAATTTGAAAAGAAAATTAGCTACAGCAGGTTTATTTTGATGGGATGTTTATGAAATTTTAATAATGTATTTTGCCATGTTCTCGCAAGAGTTTTATAAAATCTTTACTTAAAAAATTAAGATTTGATTTTTACTTTAAGTTTTTTAATCGTCCAGCTCTGTCATTTAACTGTAACTTGACATCTCAAAACATATACCCTCAGATGTATTTAATGTGCTATGATATGTTATGTATTTTGTTATATCATTGAACAACTGTCAGTTTATGTGTGTAAAATCTAATGTTAGCTTAAGCACACTTTAGATATGATATTACTTAATTTGTATCAAGAGTTCAAAGAGGAAGAAGGAACTGATATATTGAAAACTGAAACCTGATTTATTTCACTAGAGATTTATTTTAAAATTATAAATAAATGTATATATACAATTTTGTATTTGATGGTTTCATTGTTTTCACCTTTTTTTGGACATCATTGTAATTTATTCCTCATTGCTTAAATATACTGGCTGGATTATAAATTAGTTTTACCCCCATGTTTCTTAAAAAGTGTGGATTTCTATCTTACAATTATTTTTTTTGACTATCTTTGGTTTACTTTGCCTAACAGAGTTCATTCAATTTTTAGCCCCAACTTTGATTTTTGCCTACCCTAGTAAAAATCAATTGGTTTTATAGAGGACCTGGACCAGGGCTTTTATTTTCAACATTTGGAGAAGATAACTTATTTAAATCCCAATAATAATTTAAAAGATAACTCCTGAAATCCTACAAAATAAGTTAAAGCATATCTACTTTTTTTTACAAAAATCTAAACACTTCATATTTATTGTTGTTGTATGGACAGTATAGATTTTCACTGAGTAAAGAATTATTGCAAATGTAAGTCAAGGACAAACTGTACAAATAGCAAGAGGTTTTCCAATTGTAAATCTCAACTAATGGATTATCATTTATCATTACAAACAGTAAATTACCTGTGCTCAGTTTAATGTCTTGAAAAGTTGTTTTGAATTGGATACTCGACTTATTATTCCCTGAACTGTTAAAAACTTTAATGCAGTTATCCGATGTGGTAAGCAAGATATGTTTTTCTTTGAAAAAACAGCGGAGATAATGTTGATTTGACGGGTCGATTTCAGCTTCAATCACTTTTTCACCCTGTATATTCCAAACTTTGAATGGTCCAAAATAAATACCCCGTAAACGATAAGAGACGTCACAACACGCTATGAAGTTGTCACCAACCCAAACGTTGGGATCGTTAGTTATACCGGTGCTGGTGAAACATTTCAAATCCAACATCCATTTGGATTGAGATATGTCGTACGTTTTGATTCTATATCCATCATTGAATGTAACTGCCGATATAACAATGTTATCATTGTGTAATATTTTTTCAATGAGGAATTTCACATCTTCTGGTAACGGCAAAGTAGTATACTTGTTGTTACTTAAATAGTGGATTTTTATGAGCTTCTCTTTTGATTGAAACATCACAAAATATTTATTTGATATCCCAATCACATCTAAAGTTTCCTCGATTGTCGCACAAACATCAAACTGATTTGATTCCCAGTTATGTCGGTACAATGTGGTTTGTTGTTCCGTCTGAGTAAAAACAAATTCATCCTTAAAGTACATTGTGGGCGATGATATGCTCTGGACTAATTCAAAACTGCCTCCGCCTTTTAAACTGTAAACATTGTATGCATCGTCTCTCACAACTATCGAGGATGAATAAACGTGCTCCAGTTTCCCAACAGGAGGCTCACAACAGTGATCAACCTTACCGAGTCTTTTGTTCATACCTATCTCAAAACACTCAAACCATTCCAAGTGGTTGTAAACTTTAAGAAAATCTTCGCCTAAACATATTTTTCTCCAGAAATGTTCAGAAAGTAAATGGTGATTTTTGTCAAATGCTTGAAAGAAGCTGTATACGTCTATAACAGTCAAGTATAAAAGAATCTCTTCCACAAGTTCCACCGGTAGCACTTCAATCATTGGTTTTGTCGGTAGCTCAAAACCTATCAAAACAAAAGCTTCATTTACAATGATATCATATTTCTGAATTCACTTTCAACTGAGTTTATCCACTGACATAACCATGTCAAAAGTGTTTGCTATTTAATAAATTGTTAAATTTTATTAATTTCTTAGGAATTTTAAATAATAAATGTAAACTTTTAAAATAACAGTGTCATTTTCCAATGAGTGCTCTCTTTTAATGAGGTTTTTACGTGCTCCATGTATTTACAAGTTTGATCTCAAAAAACACATTGCTCCAAAAATTACAGTGCAAACACACTTTTTTATCAATATTTGAAATTTGAAATTCTGGTCAAAAACTTCCCAATGATAAAATCTAAGATAAAATGTAACTTGTTCATAATAGCTTTGCAGACAAAAACAATCTGTTTTCTCTGTATTACCATTTAAGGTAGTTACAAAAATCAATAGACATTTGGTTGACGATCAATTTTATTCTTCAAACTAACTTGATTCTTAAATATTTGAAAAGGGAAATTACATATAATTATTTTGCATCCTGTTAATGGGCTCACCCACAAGAATTTATATTACTTGCCTTTATGAACGAACCGTAGTTTACTTTTGGTAAATCACGCCACTGCTTGGAACCCTTCGACTTATAAAAACAAGAGTGAAAATAAAGTGTTTCTAATGCAACTTAAAATAACCTATCAAAATCAAACACGTCTTTGGGTGTGTTATTTTTATTTCTGAGATCGAATTGCGTGCACAGGAACAATTAAACTAAAATAAACTCGATAGTTGTGTGGTTTGAAATATCGCGAAGAACGATAGATAGATATTTCGGTAGGTATTTTAAAAACAATGCCTTTTTATCTGTATAGTTTTCAATTACTTTCAGTTCAGTGGTAAAGTTACTCTTATGAGTATAATTTAATAACCATGATTTCACCAACCCCAACCCCTCTATAGTGGGAAGTCCCGATTAGATTTTACGTTCTTTTTCTTTGCGATATCAATAACTGATAACGATGTTTGTCTTCGATTTGTATCGCAAGACAGAGAAAGTCGGCTTTCGCGAACATCACTGCATCTCATTTGATACTTGCGCAATGCGCACCAGGAAAAGGTTTGCCAATCTAAAATTCTACACTAACATAAATCGTATACTTGGACAAGCCAATTTGTAAATAATAATTCCATTCTAAGAACGAGTAATAATAATTACTATACGCTGCTTTCTTCATTATAGCATAGATAAAACATAACCCTTGTGTTGGTTAGTCAATTATGGAACCATTGACTGGGACTGGGGCCAACTACGAAGAATAGAAAATCTATCTCGCAGTCTCATGGAACAAAACCAAGTTGCCGATCTTGTGGTAATAAAGAGACGCAGAAGAAGGAGAGCACAAGTTCACATGTACGGAAAGGATAGTGCTGGGTTCACAACGATATGGTAGGCATTCGGTTAAATATCGAGCTGGTTTTCTACCGGATGATAGACATCGACTTTTTAGTATCGGCTCTGGCTCACCCGCTCACCGGCTCTCTCATGGTGGAGGTAAACCTTGGTGCCTTCTGCTGCAGTTGCTCAGTGCTCCTAGCTCCTATGTCTGTCGTCAAACGTCATAATGTGGCCTTGACGACAGAAGGCCATAATTTAATTCACAATATTACAGTGAGAGTGAATGCAAATAAATAAGTACAACATAATATCTGAACCTGGTATACAATTTGCCAATGAAAATGTTTATTATCCTATTTCAGTAAGGCTGATAACCAGCATAATGAATGTATAAGAACTTAAATTACGGAGGAATTTTAAAATTAATATTCCAGTAACTTGCGCAATTAACGCCAGATAAATTACCGCCCCCCTTACTTTACAAAGCGTTTAGATGACCTTTGCATATTTCTTCCATAATAATGCACTATGCACCATGAAACTGATCAAAAGGAACAAAGTTGGAATAAATTAAATAACATAATTAAATCAAATATTTTCCTCTTCTTTTAGGCTAGTGCTTGTAGTTTTTGTTGTCTCTGTCTTCTCTCTTCTGTATGTCGGTGTTGGTTGGTTTGGTTTTCTTTTAACAAAGTTTTATTTACAATCTGTTTTACATTAAACAATAAGTAAATACGATGGCATTTTTATAAATAAAATAAAAATTGGAAAATATTAGTTTAAACTTGTTTGTTTACGTTTTGGTTGGTTGGTTGGCGCTATGGAAG